GTTTACTGGGCATTTCCTCAGTGTAAAGGCTTGACAGGCAAGTTCTAATTTAATTTACCTGAAGAGTCTCTGAGGGCAGGTACTGCTGTTATCCCTGCTCTATGTCAGCAGAAATGAGGCTGCATATTAAGGGCCCTTTTAGGGGGAGGCTCTGGCCTATTGACCCCTGAGTCCTTCTCAACCACTTGGCCACGTCTCTGCTGGAAGAAAGGGTCTGGTAAGGCTGATGCTGGTAGCTCTGAAAGTCATGCTCTGACCCAGGCATCTGCCAGTGCCCAAAGGAATTCAGCCTTTTTGGTGCGCACTTGAGCCATTTGCCTTGGTGCAGGGCAAGGCTCTGTACCCAGATGAAAGGGTGCTCTGTGAGTTAGCTGAGGCCTGGGAAACTAGCAGGAAAGAGAGGGAAGTGGAGGGTTATGTGCTCCGTGGAGGACTGTGCCAGTCTATATGGGGTAACACCTGGGGCTGGACAGTAAGGACTCTTGGACAGGAGGAGCTCTGGGGTGTCAGTCAGACCTTGATGGAGTTGAACTGCAGAACTGAGAGGGATCTGGGAAGCGTTCTGAGGCCCTACAGGGAAGAGACTCTGGTATGGAGTGGAACATGAGATTGGAAGTGTGGAGTCTAGGGTCTAAGCTGGAGTTGTGAGTCCGCAGTACTTCCAGGGAGGATAATAGGGAGTGATAGGGGGTCAGGGTGAACCAGGCAACCACTGCTGTCTGTCTACTGCTTGTGCCTGTGTCTGGTGGCGATGTTTCTGTGGTTTGGTAATATGTGGGATTGAACCCAGAGGCTTGTGCATGCTGTGTGAGTGTTCCACCAGGGAGGTAGCTAGATCCCAAGTACTCTCTCTCTTTTTATTTTGACACAGAGCTGCACTAAGGTGCCCAGACTGTCCTTGAACTTGAAATCCTTCTGCCTTAGCCTTCTGAGTAGCTGAGATCAAGTAAATTTCTCAAGAGATGCTGAGGGCGACTTTATAAAGGAAATAATTGACCTTCACATGTCAGCAGTAGTTAGAAAACTTCTGAAAAGCAGGTTGAAGTAAACACATTGGTGACCCAGGACTAACTGACCCATAGGCACCAGTTTGCATGTGAGGGAAGGGGCCAGGGGTGAAGAAGGAGTCCTTTTCTCCCTGCCCTAAGCCATGGAGCCTTGAGTTTGGGACACAGGGAACAGCTACCTGCTCTATTAGCAGAAATAGGTGTAGGGTAGAGGTGGGGCCAGGGGGAGGCAGAGGATGGGATGTATTCACACTCTCCCTTTGCCCTCTAGAACCGAGAGCTACAGATTATGCGTAAGCTGGACCACTGCAATATCGTGAGGCTACGGTACTTTTTCTACTCCAGTGGGGAGAAGGTGAGACATTGGGAATCTAAGGTGTGTGGAGTATTGCCATACTTAGATGCTATCCATTTTTTCTGCCTGCCTGTCCCAAGAGGTCCTATCTGTCCCTCTGTTTTCTGTACACCTTCTGTCTTTCCTGACAATGTCTCATCTCTCCTTTGCCCTCCAGAAAGATGAGCTGTATTTAAATCTGGTGCTGGAATATGTGCCCGAGACGGTGTACCGGGTGGCTCGTCACTTTACCAAGGCCAAACTTATCATCCCTATCATCTATGTCAAGGTAGGCAGTCAGGCTGCTGCAGCACAGATCCACAAAACCAGGGCTCTGGGGCCATATGGGTTCCTGCATCTTTCGAATTTAGGTTGGTCTGTGGAGGCCTATGTCCCCTGTTTTCAGCCTTGTAGCTTGTAGATGGTTTGGCTAAGTCCAGAGGAGGGCCAAGGCAAGGGCTTGCCAAGGAGGTAGAAAAGGAACTAACTACTCCACACAGTAGGACCACTGGGTTGGGATAGGTGGGAAAGCCTAGAGAAAGGGTGTGCCAACACAGAAGATCCCAGGCAGGCCTCTCCCCGTCTCACCTGTGAACACCTGTGGGCCTGTTCATGGATTCAGCACTTTGTACCTGGGTGAGTTGATGCTGATGTGGGCTGTGCTTGTGGCTGCACAAGCACAGCCCATCCATCCTGGGAGGGCAGTTGTGAGATGATGATGTGCTGTGGCTGCTCTTATGGTCAGCCAGTGCTGAGTAGTTCCAGAGGCACAGCTGACTGAAACCAAGACCTTGCCCGTGAAGAGCTGTTAGTCTGGGCATAGTGGTATTTACCTTTTGTCCCAGCACTCAGGAGGCAGACAGGAAGATCTGAGTTCAAGGCCAGCCTGGTTTACATAGTAACCTCCAGGACAGGCAGGATTACAGAGAGAGACCTTGTCTTTAAGACACTGATGGCAGGTACCATCACAGACAGTGATAAAGCTGAGGAGCTGCTGCAATGTAGAGGGCAGGGAGTTCTGGGAACTGAATGCCCTTCCCTGCCTGGCTTGGGATGAGAAAGATTAAGGAACACTGGGAGGAGAGTAGTATGATGATGCAGGTACAGGAAGAGGGGGTCCCTGTGTGTCGAGCAGTTATCGGTTAGTTAATATATATCAGGGACTGGCCTAGGCAGGGGATGCAGGAGGAAGTAAACTCAAAGGTCCTGGCTGCGTGTTGTGATGCATGCCTATAATCTCAGCACTGCGGAGGTTAAGACACAAGGATTTCAAGTTAAAGGCCATCTTGGAATCTAGTGTTTGATCCTGTACCAAAAGAAAAATTCCCAGAAAGGTTCCATGGGTAAAGGTGCTTATTACCAAGCTTGAAGACCAATTACTGGAATCCACACAATCAAAGAACCAACACCAGCAAGTTTTCCTCTGGTTGCAGTTATGGTCTATGGCACACGTATAACCCTCCTCCCCCAAAAGTGGGCATGTATACTCAATCGAAATGTAATACAAATTAAAGTCAAAACCAGAAACCTTACTTAGGTTCTAGTCAGTGGTATATGGAGGGCAGGGAATGAAGCTGGAAAAGAGCTGTCAGTGGGAGGCCTCAGTGTCTCTAGAGCTAGCGGTTTTGGTGAGAAGGGAAGCCTGGCTCACGCCCGGTTATGGCAAGACTTTCTGGTGTCACTCTTCAGGCTTGTGCCAGTAGTTCCTTATGTGGGGTCAGCCCTAGTCCCAAGCCGTCCTCAAGCTTGAGAATCAGAAATTGGGAATGGGGCCCTCTGGCCAATGCAAAGTATGAGGATCAGGGGTTTCAAACAGGGTTCAGGAACTGAGGCCATGAATAGCCAGCAAGGAGAATGGTCTGATATGGGCCAGCAATGTGCGTGTGGGAAGCAGTGGGCTGGAGTTGAGCTGTGCCCTGCCCATTTTAGGTGTACATGTACCAGCTCTTCCGGAGCTTGGCCTACATCCACTCCCAAGGTGTGTGTCACCGTGACATCAAGCCCCAGAATTTGCTTGTGGACCCTGACACTGCTGTCCTTAAGCTCTGCGACTTTGGCAGGTAAGTCTGACCTAGAACCTGTGGGGTGCCTAAAAGGGTGAGAGCCTCAGCCTTGGGTTTATGCTTAACCCTGCCTGTCTCTTCCCACAGTGCAAAGCAGTTGGTTCGGGGGGAGCCCAATGTTTCCTACATCTGTTCTCGGTACTATCGTGCCCCAGAGCTCATCTTCGGAGCCACAGATTACACTTCATCCATCGGTCAGTTAGGGAACAGAGACTGGGGAGTGGCAGTCTTGGCAGGTTTTAAGCTCCTGGGCATGGTTGCGGGCTTGGTGATTAAAGCTTACCGTCTGTTCCAACACTGGTTCTCACAGGTTGAGGCTGGCGCTGGTGCGTCTTGTTTGGAGCAGTCAGTCAGACATGGGAAGGCTGGTTGCTATACAGCTACTGCCAAGGGCTCAACAGCTGGCCAGGGCAGGGCTGAGATCTCAAGACTAATATGACTCTAGAGCCCACCTCCACTCTAGACCCTCCCAGTCAGTCTGTTCTGGTGGATGGAAGGGGGTGGTGGCCTGCTCCCAGGGCCCATCTTTTTCTGTTCCTGAGGGAGCATTACCTTCTTCCAGACCTGAAGGAAGGCTGCAATGAGAACATGTATATGAAAGGGTTGAAGAGGAGCTGGTATGGGCCTAGGTGTGAACTTGTACCATACAGGCCAAGGTGCAGAGTAGAAAGGGGGTGAGCAGGCCAGGCCACAGTTCTTCCCATGGGTAGGACAGAAAGCTTTCTTGTGTCCCAAAGCACACAGGTGCCAGTTGACTGGGTCAGGCCTTGTATTGGCCTAGTTGAGAAGTAGAGGAGGATTCAACGGGTTCGTTGGGGGTCACTCACAGAGGGCATGGGGGCTGTAAGTGCAGCTGAGCCAGGTAGACCTAGAGGTTCAGGCTTTAGTTTCCCATTCTGGGTGTGGTCTTGAGCCAGTACCTCTGGAGCTTGATGGCTTTGGCTGCCTAGTGTTGAACTTCTGCCCTTCCCCTTCAGATGTGTGGTCAGCTGGCTGTGTACTGGCTGAGTTGCTTCTTGGCCAACCCATCTTCCCTGGGGACAGTGGAGTAGACCAGCTTGTGGAGATCATCAAGGTGAAGGCAGGGGCAGGGCCAGGGAGGGTGGGGTGGGCCTGAAGAAAGGGCCCTCGTTTCAGACGCCTCTGTTTCCTTTCCAGGTTCTAGGAACGCCAACCAGGGAACAAATCCGAGAGATGAACCCAAACTACACAGAGTTCAAGTTCCCGCAAATAAAAGCTCACCCCTGGACAAAGGTAGGGCAGTACTAGGGGCTCATACAGCATGGCTGAAGCCCTTGGAGGCCAGCTGCTCTGGAGATCTGGCTTAAAAATCATGGCTTGTGGGGCTGTAGACTTGGCTCAGTGGTTAAGAACACTTGTTACTCTTACAGAGGACCTGGGTTTGATTCCCAGCACCCACATGGCGGCTCACAAATTACCTGTAAGCCCAGTTCCAGGGGATCCTACAGGCATGTGTGTGGTTAATACCCATGCACTCAGGCACAACATTCATAAAGTAAAATAAACAGATATAAAAATAAGTTATGGCTGGGGGTGTGTGTGTCTGAAGCTAAACAGGGAGTCAGTCAACAACACTTTCAGATTGTGAAGTTTATAGAATTTTAAAAGTTGAGAACCCATAGATAAATACAAGATTCCCATTTATGTGGTGGCAAGGAAACTGAGCTAGCTGCCCAGTTCAGTATTTATGCCTGTTTCCTTATTGGGGAGGTGGGTGTCAGGAAGGCAACAGGTGTGCCCTATAAGGCACACCACTCTAGTGTCAAAGCACCCACCTGCTTAACTCTACCCACAGGTATTCAAATCTCGGACACCACCTGAGGCCATTGCGCTCTGCTCAAGTCTGCTGGAGTACACTCCATCCTCAAGGCTCTCCCCACTAGAGGCCTGTGCCCACAGCTTCTTTGATGAACTGCGGTGTCTTGGAACCCAGCTACCCAACAACCGCCCGCTTCCCCCCCTCTTCAACTTCAGTCCTGGTGGTGAGAGCACAGCTTGGGGCCTGTGGAGTTGTTGGGGGACGTGGAGAAACAGGACTAGGAGCTGAGAGGGTACAGGGCAGCCCTGGGCTCAGCCAGCCAGATGTCACCACATTGTGGCTAGATGCTACATCTTTTCCAGTTTTACACCATGAGTCCTGTGGCTAATGTCTCTACTACCTGACATTGCCAGTAACTGGGTCCCTGTTTGGTACCCCATCCTAACCCTAACTGGCTTTCCAAATGCCCTGCCTCTCCCTGACTGGGCATGTCAATTCCTGTGTCTAGAACTCTCCATCCAACCGTCTCTCAATGCCATTCTCATCCCTCCTCACTTGAGGTCCCCAGCAGGCCCTGCTGCCCTCACCACGTCCTCACAAGGTAAGTTGGGGAACATGTGTTGAGGATAAAGCGGGGGCTGTCCTTGGCTTCTACAGTTTTCTACAGGTTTTAATTTGTCGACATTTGATGGCACAGAAGGCATAGCATATCATCAGTCTTAGCTTAATAGGACAGTATTGGCACATTTGTGTTTAAATCCCAAACATTTCTTGGTCTGAACAAATAAACACAAAGTTGCCCACATTTAAACATTGGTCCATTTTGGGCAAAAACAAAAAAACAAAACCCAAAAACCAACAACAACCAGATTTCCTGTTTCTTTGGGGGAGAAAACTGGACTTGGTAGCTGTGGGTCCGTCTGTCTCCTGACAGCAGTTGGGGCTCTGTCCAGCTGCTCCTTTCTTCCATGGAGCCTGGCTCCCTGATGTGAACCACTTTAGTGTCAAGCTGGTCTTTGGCATCTGAGTTTGTAGCCCTGAACCAGAAGTGACAGCTGTCAAGCTTCTTGCAGTGTCTTGAAATAAGTTCTACTCTCATGGCATGGCGGTGGGGATGATGCAGAAACTAACTGTCTCCTCCTCCCTCCTTCAGCTTTAACTGAGACTCAGACCGGCCCAGACTGGCAGGCACCTGATGCCGCACCTACCCTGGCTAACTCTTCTTGAGGGCCCCGCCGACTACCCCTCCACATCCATCTGGGAATTCCCAAGTGGGGCTGGGAAGGGGGGGGGCATAGCCTCATCAAGCTCCTGCCCTGGCTGGGCCCCTAGACTAGAGGGCAGAGGTAAATGAACTCCTACCCCTAACATCTAGGCCTTCCCTCCTCAGCCTTACCTTTGTGGTGGGCTTTTTAAAGAGGATTTTTAACTGGTTGTGGGGAGGGAAGAGAAGGAAGGACAGGGGTTTTAGGGCTATGAGGACCTTCTACCCCCTTGGTTCCCTCCCCTCCCCCAGGCTACCACTCCTTTCCCCTTCCCATGTCCCTTGTAAATAGAACCAGCCCAGCCCACCTTTTCCCTTCCCTGGCCCCCTGGGTGTAAATAGATTGTTATAATTTTTTTCTTAAAGAAAAACGTCGATTCACACCATCCAACCTGCCCCTCCCCTCAGCTGTATCCCCCTCTTGTCCTCTGCTCCCAAGGCTTCTACCCTCTCCCCATCCTGGAAGGAGGGAGTAGGGAAAGAGCCCCTGGTGTCTTAGTTTCCACAGTAAGGTTTGCCTGTGTACAGACCTCCGTTCAATAAATTATTGGCATGAAACCCTTCTTCCAGCCTGGCTGCCTGTTTCCACAGAGGTGAGGGGGTTCAGGGCTTGGAATGAGTTGTACCTCAGGCAGGCGGACACTAAGGCTGGAAACCCCTAAACCACCAGTGCTTATGAGCCTGTCCATGACCTGGCACAAACCATCTGTTTCAGCTGGGGCAAGGTCTCCATCCTGGGTGATCATTGAGATTAGGGTTCAGAGTGGTTGAAACCCCAGAATTTAAGAGGCAGAGTCAGGACCTGAACAAAGAGATGTCTGCAGCAGGGCCCAGTGGGACCCTGGATGAGCGTCTCTTGGGCTAACTGCCTGCAGACTCAGTGGGGTGGTATGTGTGGACAGATTCCTGGGTTGTAACTGCCTGAAGGAGGGCACACTTGCTTCACTTCTCTTAGGAATATTGGGAAGTGATGACCTTGGAAAGGTGGAGGTAGCTTAGCTTTTCTGTTTTTTGAGGAGGTCTTCCAGTTATAGTCCAAGTCTGTCTGGAACTGGAGGTGATTTTGCCTTGGCTCCCAAATGCTGAGATTGTAGGCTTGTGCCATCTTGCCTGGCTTTTCCCCTTGACTTTTAAAATATGCTGGAGCCAGATGGTGGGGACCATAGCAGAAGGAAATGGTATCTCCACATGGTGCCAAGCAGTGAGTGGGTAGAAAGCTCCAGAAAGGGAGGGAGCAACTTTGGGACCTTCTGATGGATTCTAACGATGCACAAAAAGGAATTTTGAAACATGTCCATGAGGGATTCTAATATTCTGGGCTCTGCTAGATGCTTCCATCAGCCCCAGGGGTGCCTGTCTACCCTGTAGGACAGATCTTTTGCTCAAAACAGTTATAAAGTACAGAGAGAATGGCTGGTTTGGTCACTGGGCTGTCTTACCCATTGGACCCTAATGTCCCTACTCAGTTCTGTTCATCTCTCTTGGACCATTGCCAACCTCCCACTCCGTGCTCTGATCCAGGGAGATATGACACCCTCCCTGTGACATTCCTTCAACAACAACTCACCTCAATTTCCAAGGCCTGGGCTTATCTCTCAGACAATGCCCAGCCACAGAAGCATCCTGCTTCACTTGTTGGAGCACCATGGTCTGCTGAGGCTTGGGGGAGCCCTGCCCCACTGGTCTCCTATACTCATCTTAGGGAGAGGAAGGACACCTTATGAAAAAATACAATCCCTTCCTGTTTCCAAGGCTCCCTCAAATCTCAAATGCTCCGTGACACTGCCTTCTCCAAAGAAAATAAAATATATCCCCTGCTATCAGCTGCTGTTTGGGTTTCAGGTGTTCTTCAGAGACCCGAGAGCTGGGGCGATTCTCTGACCCGTCTCCTTACTCTACAACAGGGATGATATACAGGTCCACCTTGGGCCCAACAGACACTAAGTGTCCCGCCTAAGCCTGTCAGGCATTCGGGTGTTCACTGCAGTTATAACTGGATGGCTTGTCTAAAATGTTCTTTTCCACCGGCAGATTCCTGCTTTACTTTGGGAACTGGTGCCACTAGGAATCCCTCACTCTTGGTCACCTCCCATGGAGGCTTGCTCCATATTCTCAGATCCCACTGTTTCTACACTTTCCCATCACAGCCCAGGGATCCTCAGGCCCATAGCACCGTGGCATTGTGTGTTGCACTCAGGCAAGCTGTCTGTACCTCTAGTCTGTTGCTGCTGCTGGACTGAGCATGCCTGAGTTCAGAGCTGTATCTGGTTCACTCCTGGCTCTTCAACATCACCTAGTCTGAGCTGAGTACTGGGGGTACCTACAGATTTCTTTTCATACTATCAAACTGAGAAGGAGCAAGCCCAGAGAAACTACCTGTACCCAGCAGAGCTAAGTCCCAGGCACCCAAAGTCCAGGGAAGTGGGGGGTTAGGGTTTACAAGCAGAAGATCTGAGAGGTATATGAGTGTCTGGCATATGGTTGGTGCTCATAAAGGTTACCTGATGTTGCTGAGCACTGGGTGATGCCGTGCAAAGAGCCTTGGCAAACCCCATTCTGCAACGCGGCAGCAGGGGCTGAGATCGATCACATCACTTCTCAGAGCTTCAGTTTCACCTTGGGCAGAGAAAGGTGACAGGAAAAACCTGGCAGGGTTGTCCTTGGTCTGAGGAGTCAGCAGTTAGAAGAGGCCAGCAAGGTGGATCCTGACATCTGGTGGTCTTCTCCCCTGAGCTGCCTCTGCTGTCTTGTAAGCAAACCCTTTTATTGCTCTTGTGTTCTGTCACACAAATGCCGTGTCCAACTGCAACAGTCCACTTGCTTCACTGGCCCCCAGTGCTGCCTGGCACAGCTGCAGTGTGTCCTCCAGTGCCAGTGGCTGGGATGTCTCGATGATGGCGATGGTCTCCCCAAGCTCTGTGCACATGATAGTCTGCTGAGGTTCAGGGGGTGGGGGTGGGACCGGAGAGGGTGACCTGGGAGGCTGTAGTGTTAATGTTCTGGCTCGGGCATGGACCCGCTGGTGCAGTCGGAGGCCTGCCATGGCGCGGAACCAGCGGCCGCAGGTTCCACAGTAGTAGGGGCTCTTATTGTAGAGACCAGTTATGGGAAGGCGAGGGGCACGCGCAAAGGCTACTGGTCGTAGGTGTAGACGCCGGTGTTGCTGCAGGTTGGAGCTCTGTGTGAAGCGCTTGCCACAGTCCAGGCATTGGTAGGGACGCACGCCTGTATGGGTCAGCTGGTGGCGGCTGAGGTTGGCTAAAGAGGCGAAGGTCTTCCCACAGGAGTGACACTGGAAGGGCCTCTCGCCTGTGTGTGTCCGCAGGTGGTTGCGCACATGGACCAGCTTCTTGAAGCCCTTGCCACAAATCCCACACCTGTGTCGGCGTTCAGGGGGGCCATGCACTGCGCGTCGGTGCCTGGAAAGCCGGGAGGCCGAGGCAAAGGACTTGGGGCACTGTGGACAGGGCAGCTGGACAGGTGGGGGTGGAGGTGGGGGCGTAGGCTCAGCTGGAGCTGGGGAGACAGTTGCTACTTTGGTGGGGGTTCCACTTTTCCCAGTGTGAGTTCGTCGGTGGTAGAGGAACTTGGTCATGTTACTGAAGGTCTTGCCACAGCGACAGCGGTGTAATGGGTTGGCAGTATGGGCTCGCCGATGGGCCACCAGCGTGAGCTCGGTGCCAAAGCCACGGCCACAGTCCACACAGAGGTAGCGGGCTTCCCCACGGTGCAGCCGCTGGTGCTGCTCCAGAGAGGCTGCCTTCTTGAACACCTTGGAGCAGGTGGTACACTCATGGGTACCACCCACGTGGGCTCGTCCATGCGCCATCAGACGGTTAGCGGAGCTGAAGCTGCGCTGACATTGGCTGCAGTGGAAGGGGAGGGCGGCAGACACTGGGCCACGAGATGCCCGTCGGTGTCGGCGGCGTGTAGCTGAAGAGGTACAGTGCTGGGAACAATCTCCACAGCTCTGAGCTCGATCAGCCGTGGCCTTGTCACCTCCTAGATCATCAGCAGTGAGCTCTGCAGCTGCTTCCTCCTCATCTGTCTCCTCCTCTTCCTCCTCCTCCTCTTCTAACCCATTGCGCTCTTCTTTCTCCAGGGAGTCAAAGTGGGTGCCCTGATGCTCCAAGAACTCTTCAGGGGTGGCACAGAGAGTAGAGCATTCGGGACACTCATAGGGCTCCATCTTGACTTCTGGTAGCGGGGGTGGTGGTGTTGGGGGAGGCAAAGGAGGTGGCACTGGTGGCTCATCAGCTGTACTGGAAAGGTGCTGAGTCTTTCGATGAGCCACCCACAGCTCAGGTGAGGGGAAGAGCTCCTGGCAGTCGCCACACTGGTACTGGATCTGGCTTGCAGACTCCTGCAGGTGGGCATCCTGGTGTGCCAGGAGCTCACTGGGGGAGAGGATGAGCTGGCTGCATTCACCACATTGGAAAGGTCCGTCCTCGGTGTCAGGCACTAGCTCAGGCTCCAGGCCCGTGTCCTGAGCAGTTAGCACTTCCTCCTCTGACATGGTGGGCAGGTGCTGTTCCTGGTGGGAGAGGACTTCCTCCAGGGTGTTGTAGAGGCTGCCACACTCAGAGCACATGAACTGGTGGTGCTGGAAGAAGAGGGACGAGGCCAGCGCCTCCCCAGGGGTCATCTCAGTCACTGCGGTTGCCATCTCTGCCAGTTCTCCTGACACAGGTGTTGAAATGTCCACTGCTCCTGGTGACTGTGTTGGCATCTCAGCTGCTTCTGCCACCATCTCTGCCATTATGGGGAAGGCAGTGACTGGAGAAAGAGGGGCAGTAGTCAGTGGTCCGTCAGGACCCCAAGGGGAGCGGGTGTCTCAGGAGTTCCCTTGCTCACCCCATTAGTCACCAGTCTGTCAATCAGTCTCACTTCACCTTTATGTCTCAGCCTATCACAGCCACTACAGTCAGGTGTCTGCAAAAGAGAGGGGGTGCTCTGGAGCCTGGCCTCTGCTGCAGCCCCGCCCACTTGCACACATGCACACGCAGACACGAGGTTTTCTGTTGTGTAACACCTTTCCTCCTCTGGAATACTCATTTAAGAGAGGAGTGGGTATGAGCCCTCCCCTTTTACTTCTCTCACCTGTAAAATGGAGCTAAAAGTTGGACTGACCACAAGACTAAGAAGGTACTTCATTAACAAAAGTCAATACTTGGTTTGTATGCAACCCAGGCTGGCCTCAAACTTGCTATGCAACAGAGGATGACTTTGAAGTGATCCTTCTGCCTCATCCTCCCCAGTACTGGGATCACAGGTGTGCACCATCACACTTAGCACCCGAGATACAAAACTCAAATCTTGCTGGGTGCGTAATGCCTTTAATCCCAGAACTCAAGAGGCAGAGGCAGGTGGATGGATCTCCGTGAGCTCAAGGCCTGCCTGGTCTACAGAGCTTATTCCAGGATAGCCAGGGCTACTCTGTCTCAAAAAACAAACAACAACCAACCAACTAAAAGCTCTCAAATCCTCCACTGTGTCCTCCGCTCTTTCTCTGGTCTCAACCCAACACCAATCACATAACAGGCACTCACAGTCCATTCCGCAAACCCTCCCTAAACCTAGAAATTAACTAGTTTTCTGATCCAATCCCAATCTTTTTAAGGGCATTTTATTTTTACTTTATTACACTTATTTATCAGGTGAGGGCACATGTATGGAGGTAAGAGGGCAACCTGAAGGATTTGTCCTATCATGCAGGCTCTGGAATCAAACTCAGATCATCAGGTTTAGTGTCAATTGCCTTTACCCACTGAGCCATCCTGAAGGTCCTCCACCACCTTTTTATTGTTTTTGTTTTTTTTGCTTATGCTACTGTGTGCCTGTATGCATGAGTACATGTTGTAGCAAACATGTGGAGGTCAGGGGAAAACTTTGTGGAGTTCACACTTTCCTCCCACATTTATGTGGGTTCGAGGATTGAACCTGGATCAGCAGAGTTGTGTGATATTCACCTTTACCTACTGGGCCATCTTACTGGCTCCTGGTTTAGTGTCTCTCCCCTACCCCACCCCCACCCCAGTTTTTCTATACAGGGTTTCTCTGTAGCTTTGGAGCCTTTCCTGTAACTAATTCTTGTACACCAGTCTGGCCTCAAACTCAGAGATCCACCCATCTCTGCCTCTCGAGTGCTGGGATTAAAGGCGCGTACCACCGCCGTCAGGCCTGGTTTCAATTTCTGTTTTTGAAACTGGAGCTTATAAATATCTAGGCTGCTGGCCTTGACCTCAGCATGTACACAGCAAAGTCTGGTTCTCAGTCTTGTTTCCTCTGCCCCCCAAGTGCCAATGGCTACCTTCTTTACCTCTTCTGTGTCAGAAGTATAGCGCTGGCATAGAAGCTGCTCATGAGCCTTTAATCCCAGCACTCGGGAGGCAGAGGCAGGCGGATCTCTGTTGAGTTCGAGCCCAGCCTGGGCTACAAACAGAGAGTTCCAGGACAAGCTGCAGAGCTACACAGAGAAACCCTGTATTGAAAAGTCAAGAAGGATTTTTCCAGCAACAGTAAAACGGGGCTGGGCAGGAGAAGGTGGAGGGTTGCATTCTGCCTTGATTACATCTCCACTTGTAAGACAGACACCCCACCCCTCTCCGTGCCTGGGGCTAGGATCAGAACATGCTACTTGGCTTGACCCAGGAAAGGAGTGGATAGACAAACTTTGCAAAATATGGATGAGCTCACACAAGAAAAAGCATGGTGCATAGGAGCCAGTTTACCATGGCTCACTGAATCTCATTTAACAACACGGACACAATCCGTATACATGTCTTTCTAGAAAGTAGCCCAGGTAACTTGACATCCGTACTTTTCTCGCCTGCAATCCTTTCGCCCCATCCTACAGTGTGTCAGGGCACGGTAGGTGGAATTTAGCTTAAACCTTCGTATATACAAAAACTAAATCTGAGCACCTCCACCAGGGGCCGTAAAGTTCAACTTTCCCGCTACACTGCCTTTTTCTCTTATCAAGACTCTACTGCTCGGCAGCGTGAGGGCCCCCTGCAGGGGTGGGGTGTGCAAGCGAGCTCAAGCTGGGTCCCGCACACACCAGGGGCTCCACCGACGCCTCCAGGGCACACAGGAAGGAGCTGTCGATCAGCCCGCGCTACTCCAGCCCTCAGCGCAGGCCCCAAGGCTCTCCAACCCTCAGTGTGCCCTTCTTTCTTCCTCCACTTTCTCTCTGCACCCAGCGCTCTCTTCCCCGCCCGCCCCGCGGCGCCCTCACCCAGCTCGCTTACCTCCAAGCAGCCCCTGCCGCTCTTGACACGGACCCTCCGCAGCGGGTGTGTGGGACCCCTTACTATCCACGCCTCCCATTGGGCGGCGCCCTCACCCGAGGCAGCCAATCAGACCTGGTAGCGCAGGGCACGCGCCCTCGCGCCTGCGCGTCGGTACTCAGGCGGGGCTTCGAGAGTTTCTCCACGCAGACATCAGTGCCCTGTGGGCGGTGCCCGGGTCCGGGAGAGGCGCCTGCGCAGTTCCCCGGGGCCGCTCCTCGCCTGCTGTTTGAAAATTCAGCTGAGAGAAGTGTGCGTCCGGATAGAGCGCGGTCTCCTAAGTGAGCTGGGCTACGCGAGACTTTGACAGGTGGCATCCCTTAGCGGAAGACGCTGAGCGTCCCTGAAGCGTAGCTTCAGAGCCAGACACACTTGAGGTACTTTTCCTGGGCCGCCTCAGTTTTGCTCATATGTAAAGTGGGCTTGAATCCTATCCTCGTGGAAGGCTGTTTGGAGGCATTGGATGTTTGTAATACAGGTGAAAAAAAACGTTCAACGCAGGGCCTCATAACACTGGCTACTCACTATAGCCCACCTAACAGAAGCCTTGTCGTTTCTAGATGGCTTTCCCTTCCTCTCATTCTCTGTCAGGTTCAGTGAGATTCACCCAGACAGCTCACAGTGGACTGTGTTTCCATTGCCGTTCCTGTCACAGGTGGAAAAGCCAAGGCCTAGAGAAAGGAAACAAGCAGTATTGAGCCAAAACCTCGCGCCCAGGTCTCCCGCCTCGCAGGGAGATAATTCCGGGGGTGGAAACCAGTCCGAGAAGAGACCTGACTCAGGCACGTGCGGGCCCTGACCTTGAGTCACCTAAGTGGGGAGGAGGAGCCCTCACTCTTAAGGCCGCCGTAGTCTCCCCTTCTCTGACAGGCTTGCTCTCGTAGGTGCTGGTTAGGGGAGCTTCTGAATGGCTCCGAGACTCAGAGGGCACAGAAGAAAGAGACTGTGTAGAAGGGCGGTCCTAACTCTGGGTGTGGGTGTCTGTGACGATAGGTCCTGATGGACGTCTTCGGGATGTACACCTAGCGGTGAGGGAGTCTGTTGCGATTTGGGGAGTATTTTCGGGCATGCGACTGAAGGACTTTTATATTGGGGCTGGGGAGCTGGATGAGAGTTTCTAGACAGACTCTGAGACAGAAGAGTTGAGATGCGGTTTCCCGGATGCCACCTAGGAATGGTGGGGGTGGTACTTTAATACAAGTTCGGATTATGAGCTCGGCGAGCTCCTGGGAGCCCTGACCGTCGTGACTGTTGTACTTTGCGCCGGCAGCTGGTGGCATTTGTCATGTGGGCGTTAGGTCGTGATCAGGTGGGGGATGGAGCTGTGGGAATAATCCCAACAGGTCACGTCGTGGGATCTAAGGGACACACACCGAGACTTTAAACTTCGAATCACGAGCAAGTGCCAGACGCTGCTAGGCTCTGCCGCGCAAGCGCAGCACTGGTGAGCCGGGACGCTTCGGTTGGGGACGCGTCAGGCGGCCTGGAGGGGTGGGGCTTAGAGGTCTCATTCTGCGCTTGCGCTGTAGGGGCGTGGCGGTCGCACCTGCGCGAGTTGGGTGAAGGAGGAGGAGCGCAGTGACGCAGGCGTAATAATAGAGAAGGTGCCAGAAAGATCCAAAACAAGTGGCTGCGGCCGTCGCCCAGGAGTCATCGGACGCCGGAATCTGGTGAGGATCCAGAGAGGCCTAAGGGTGACTGATGGCGGGTAGATGGGACCTCTTGGGTGTTGGGGTGAGGGCAGGACCGATCGCCCTTCTAGGGTGAGTAGGGACCGGGTTCAGACAGAACCACCTGTGTGGAGCTTGGGGCAGTCTTTGTCGATCCCACTTGTAGAGAACCGAGGGTCACTTTTGAGTGGTACCACTTGGGTGGGGCGTTGGGGTTAGCCGAAAGGTACTAGTGGACAGAACCAAGGACCACGGCCCCGGACATTTGCCACCCAAAGTCACCGGGCATTGGACAAGGTGCCCTGCAATGGGCCGTGACGCTCATTCGGGCTGATCTCCTAGGTTGGTCGGTGGCAGGTTCGGAACATACCACCTGGAGAGGGGCGCCTGGGCTTGGCTGGCCCGACTAGTCGCTAGACTGGTGGGGTCTGGCGTCTCGACCTGTTACTAGGGTACCTGGGGTGATACCATTCCTGTCCGTGGGAGGGGGAGGCTGAGACCGTTGAGGGTATGGGGCGACCCAATCCGGAGACACCTCAAGGGGGTCACACGAATGGCCTGTGTGGGCTCTGGGCCACCGCGTCGCTGACCACGACATCCTCCCCGCCGTGTGGGTTCTAGGCCCTGGTTCTGAGCTTGTTCCGCACCCCTCCCCTGGGAATGGCGTTGTCCGGGTCGACCCCGGCCCCGAGCTGGGAGGAGGATGAGTGTTTGGATTACTACGGCATGCTGTCGCTTCACCGTGTGTTCGAGGTGGTGGGCGGGCAGCTGACCGAGTGCGAACTGGAGCTCCTGGCCTTCCTGCTGGATGAGGCTCCCGGCGCCCCCGGAGGCCTGGCCCGCGCCCGCAGCGGCCTGGAGCTGCTTCTGGAGCTGGAACGCCGTGGGCAGTGCGACGAGAGCAACCTGCGGCTGCTGAGCCAACTCCTGCGCGTGCTGGCCCGCCACGACCTACTGCCACATCTGGCCCGCAAGCGGCGCCGACCGGGTAAGGTTCGAATGGGAAGTTGCGGGACTTCTGGGACCAGAACATCTTGCTCCCACTGGGCCCCTGCGCTTCCCTGATACGAATTCCAGTCTCCCTCCCCGCCCTTTTCCCCCAGTGAGAAACCCAAAAAGGGAGAGGGCATAACTTAGGTTAGGAGCGAGCTTGTGGAATTTGATCATATCAGCAAAGGTTGTGGCCACCGTGTGTGGAACTTTGTATGCCTGGCAGAGGTAAACTGTACCGCAGCACACAGGGAAAACAACAGGCTTAGAGAAGTTATCTGGCTGCATGTGAGAACTACATACATCATGGTGGCCACAAAGAGAATAAGGCCAAGATGTTTATTCCGTGAAGCTTGCATTAGTAGAGGGAGCCACTTAATAATAAACGAGGAACTTAGCTTTAGATAACAGCCATATATTGGGTGAGACAGAATGCCTCAAAATGAGGGGAGGTGGCTCCAACCTGGGTGATGATGAAGGAATAGTCTAAGAAGATGGCATTTAAAAGGGGGGAAGCATGAAAATATGTCACACACGTAACATGTAGCAAGTAAAGGGACCAAGATTCAAACCTGCCTGTCCTGTCTCCAGGGTTGAGGCCCTTGATCCTTGGGCAGAAAGGGAAGAGCTGGGAGGGGTCAGGTACCAGGAAGCCTGTGTACATAGGTAGGCTCTTTTCTTGAGAGATAGAGTATGGCAGCTGGGGAGGGGGATTATGAGATTTCCTGTCGCATAATAAGCCTGTCGGATTTGCACAAACAGAAGGGCACCTCTAGGGATAGCTGTCTGATTTTGAAAAAAATATGTCTGAGTGTCAGGCTCTAGAAGAGATGAAAGGCTGGGGCCCCAGCATAAGCCAGGAGCACCTGGGGGCAAGGGCCGTTGCAGGGACCTGGTCTATTGGACATATAAGCCTGACAGCTGGAGTTGTTGATATGGGTTGGGCAGCCCCATGAGCACTGTGTCCTAGGAGCCGGGAGCCTCCTGTAGGTGGGAAGTGCTTGAGAAGGAGTGGGCGTTTGGGCCTGACCTCTGAGATCTGGGGTTAGGCATCCTATGGTCCAGGCATTCTCCCTAGGAGGCTGAACCTGGGAGGTAAGGAAGCTGTGAATACTGATTTCATTCTCTTTCCCCAGTATCCCCTGAGCGATACAGTTATGGCAGTCCTGGCTCTTCCAAAAGGACAGAGGACAGTTGCCGGCGTCGGCAACAGTCAGGTAGTTCTTCTGATTCTCAGCAGAGTCAGTGGGACACAGGTGAGTCCACTGGGCAGGTAGGGTGACAGTGTCCCTGTCTCTTTCTTAAACCGTGATGACCTCCAGCGTCCTGGCCCATCAAGAAAATGACCTGAAGGGTCACTCTGTCTGTTTTTGTTATTGCTATAGGTAGAAGCATGTGTCCTGAAGCAACGGGGTTGTGTCACATGGACTCATGCTTCACTCAGATGGCATCATGTTGAGGCATGTGACCTGGCAGCCTTGGCTGGGCACATTTCTGAGATTTATTTCATGGTGAATGCCTTTAATTAGTTCAATTACTGTATTCTAGTCAGTGTACACAATCCCCCCCTAATTTTTAATTATGTAAAATTTTAAATGTCCAGAGAAGTTAAGATAACACAGAGAATATCTTCACCTGGATTCAGGGATTACGGACATTCTGCCACTGTGTTCTGTGCGTGTGTGTGTGTAGAAAATTCTGAGGTTTTTGTTGAACTTTTTGGTAGTAAATTACAGGCATCAATAGCCTTGTTTCGGAATTAGCTGGCATAGTTTGAGAATAAGTTTTTCTCTGCCCTTTGAAGACCGTTATCACGCCTAAGAAAAAGAGTATTCGTTCTCTGACACCTTCATGGTCTACTTTCGAATTTCTTAAAATCTGCACAATTTCAGAGCCTGTTTATATTGTTTGTTGTGTATGCAGCTTAAAAAAGAAAAGCTCTATTAATTACTGTTTAGAGGTGGAGTCTCATTCTGCAGCCCAGGCTGGCTTGGAACTCATTTGTAGCCAAGACTAATTAATCTACAAACTAGAGCAGTGATTCTCAACCTGTGGGTCGTGACACACTGCCCTTCACAGGGGTCACTTAAGACCAATGGAAAAAACAACTATTTCCATTCAGAGTCATAACAGTAGCAAAATGACAGTTATGAAGTAGCAATGGAAATGATTGTATGGTTTGGGGTCACCACAACATAAGGAACTGTATAAGGAACTGTATTAAAGGGTCGTGGCATTAGGAAAGTTGAGACCCATGGAACTAGAGGCAATTCTCTGACCTCGTCCTCCCCAGTATTGGAATTAGAGGTGTGAGCCACCGTGCCCAAGTGGCATGCAGTTTTTTTATCTTTTAACCTTCCTTACCAAGCAGACAGGCTGACTGACTACCTACCTTCCTTCCTTTCTTCTTTCTGGGGCTGGACCTGGAACCTGGGTTAACTGCCCTCTTTACCACTGAACCACGACTCCTGCATACCTTATCCATGGCCCAGAGTGTTCTGCTTTTGACTTTTCCGCCTACAGGGCTGATTGGTGTATACAGCATTCTGACTGCTTCTGGTTGCTACATGATGGTCCTGTCACTTGTCTGTCTGTCTTTCTGCAGAGTAGTCATTAGGAGCAAAGAGTTGGTTTGATTTGGGTTACACATTTTTGGCAGGAATGTTCCTTGACCAATGCCTGGTCCTTATGTTGGTGCCTGTCGTGAAATTTGCACTGTAAATAGGGACGTGTGGTCAGCTGGTTCTGGCCAGATTTGTACATGTGAAGCTGTGTATTTGTGTGTGTTGATGTATGATGTGCTTATATGCGTGTAGGTGTGTCTGTGAAGGTCCATGTTCACACGTGTGCATATCTGTGGAGAGGCTATAAGTTGGCACTAGCTGTCTTCCTAATTCACACTGCTTATTGGGTGGGACAAGGTCTTTGGCTGCTCATCGAGCCAGCTTGCCCTGGGAATCCTGTTTCTGCCTCCTGGATACTGGGATAGCAGCCCAGCCTCCATGTTCGCCTCACAGGCATATGCTGCTTGGGCAGCAGGTGCATTATCTGCTGAGCCATCCACGAGGCTCAGTGAAGAGATGAAGCTTTCTTCCTATGGTTACTAGTGTGTAAGAAGATGCTTTTTAGCATTCTCTGTACTCACTTGTTCCTCCAGGGGGATGTAGCATCATTCTGTGAACCCTGTTTGAACCATTTGCCATGGTAATGTTCGTAAATGGTGACTCATTTGTTTATTTGCTTATTTTTTACAGCTTTTTTGTAAAAATAAACTTGAAGCAGATTCTCAGTTGCCCAACCTAGTAGCTGGGATTACTGCCTTGTGCAATGAGGCTGGAACCAAGAGTAGCTTTAAAAATGTTGTGTTTTCATTTTTAATTATTATTTTGTTTTTATGGTACTAGAGATTAAACTCAGGGCTCTGTTTATGCGAGGCAAAGGCTTCTCTTACCAGGCTGTGCCCCTAGAACCTCATTGTTGGACTTTAGGAAGGAGCTCTACAATTGAGCTGCTCCCCAGCTCTTCTTTTCTCTTTCCAGTTTAACAGCAGGATATCACCAAGTAGTTCTGACTGGAAATTCACCTGAGATGCACCTGCCTCTATCCCCTGAGTGCTGGAATCAGAGGTGGCACCACCACTGCCCGGCTTTGTTTACTTTGTTAGCTAATTAGTCATTCTTACCAGCATTCAGATTCCTTCGCTCTGTTCTTTTGACTTGTCTGTCTGCCTCACTCTCTGAGTGACATTCCTGATGTCCTGGGCTTACCTTGCACTTCTCACCCCCAAAGTCATCTGTTTGTCAAGAAGCCTGGTTTCCGTTAGAGGCCTGGATGTTTAGAGATCAATAGCTAATGCTGGGTGTATAGTCTGCTTCTCAGCTGCCTGGGAAAGCGGATACCTGCATTTCAGAAAAAGTTCTCCAAGCTGGGTTTGGTGACTTGTGCTGATAATCCTTGAGGTTTTTAAGTTTACTTTAATTATGTGTATGTGTTTGGGTTTGCACACTTGAGTGCTGGTCCCAGAGGAATCAAGAAGAGCAATGTGCACGCTAACTGCTGAGCCTTATCTTAGGCCCGACTTTTTTTTTTTTTTTTTTTTAAATAGTGAAAGTCTTGGCTGTTGGCACTGAAATGGGTTTACTTTGTTTTCCAGCAGTAATGAGGTGACAACAAATTTTATCTGTTAAGTTTGATTTGCTACTAATGTATTCTTTCAGACTTGCAACAGGAGTAACCTGTCAATAGTGTTCGGAATCCCTCTTGTCTGCAGGGAATTGCAAACTGAACACATTTATTTTGTTACATGTTTTCTTCCTTCTTTTTTATGTAAATTTTTCCAACTCAGCTTTCCTTTAAAATCTTGCTGCTAGAGTGTGTGTTTGCATGTGTGAGAGAGAAAAAGAGAAACAGAGAGAGAAAGGCAGAGAGAGAGCGAGTGCTGAGGGGGTTCATGGCACACAGATATGAAAGTCAGAGGATAACTCTGTGGAATGGCTTCTCTTTCTGCCTTTATGTGGTTCCAGGAATTGGACTCTGGTCAGCAGGTGTGAGCAGCAAGCTCCTTTACCCACTAAGCCATCTCTCCAGCTCTCTCTTCTTGGTGTTATTTTGGTTCTAAGACAGGGTTTTATTGTGTAGTCCAGACTGACCTGGAATCCCTTGATCTTCTAACTCAGCCTCACTCCCCACTGTCAGCATCCATTGGATGGAGCACAAGATGGGTTTGTATTCTGAGAGAAAGAAAATGAGAATATGGGTGTGTGCTTGTGTTTGTGTGTGTAAGCATGCATGCATTTTGAGACAGGATCTCATTGTAGACCAGGCTGGCCTTGAATTCACAGTGGTCCGTCTGCCTCTGCCTCAAGTGCTTTGGTCAGACCCAGCTGAGTGTGCAGTCACAATGTTCTAAGGTACTTGCCCTAATTCCTTCATCAGAATTCGGTGTCACCAATTGTGTGCACTTAGGTTCATCCGTTTCTGTTTGACTTTATCATTTGCTTCTTTTCGTTTTAAGTGTATAAAACAGTTACGTGACTCAAAAGGCAAAACTAAAAGCATTTCAAGGAGTCTATCTGCAGCCAGTTTCAGTTACTTCTAATCTGTCCTTTCAGGGCTTCCAAGAAAGTAACAGATGTAAGGCGTGTTCTGATTCCTCTCTTGTGGGGTTGTAAACTGTATACATTTATTCTCTCACAGGCCCTGTCTGTATTTTGACATTCTTTTTTCCTGGTCCTGAGCTGACTCTCCTATGTCTTCCAGGTTCCCCTCCCACCAAACGGCAGCGGCGGAGTCGGGGCCGCCCTAGCAGTGGTGCCAGACGGCGGCGGAGAGCAGGCCCAGCAGCCGTGCAGCAACAGGAGCTGGGCAGGCCCTCATCAGAAGGCAAAGTGACCTGTGGTAAGTATCCGTGAGCCTTGAGAGTCCTTGTGCCCATGGTGGACTACAGAGTTGGAGGGTGAGACACACACACACACACACACACACACACACACACACACACACACGGGCTTTGTAGGTATGCATCCTTTTCTGAAGCAGTGAAGGATGTGGTGGGGATAGAAAAGCCAGGTCAGTCTGTCAAGTTACATCTTAGCTTTTGCTTTTGGTTTTTGAGAAAGGGTCTCACTATGTATCCCTGACTGTCCTGGAATTCACTCTGTAGATCAAACTGGCCTCAAACTTACAGAGATCGTCTCGCCTTTGCCTCCCAATTGCTGTGCTGGGCTTGGCTTAACGGTGTGAACCACTGTGCTTGGCTTTAGCCCAGACATTTAAAGAAGCTTCCTGACCTTGGACAGGTGACTGAGTAGGGTGGAACAGTAAGATGATAAAGGTCTTCCTAGAGCTGCTGTCAGGATAGCAATTCCACATATAATCCACTTGGAACAGTACCTAGCACAGACCATGTGCATGTGAGGCTTGGTGTCTGGGGCTTGTCGCAGGGAGGCCCTGTCCCTGTAGAGCTGACCTTGCAGCTGAGTGGCAGTCCATTGGAGCTGGGATTGCTGAGGCAATGGGAGATACTGTCAGGGCTGGTGGGAAAGCCAGTCAGACCAACAGAAGGCTGGGCAACTACAGAATGGATGAAAGTTTGGATTTTTGTCCATGCTTCTAGTTTCGTTTCTTTTCTTTTCTTTTCTTTTCTTTTCTTTTCTTTTCTTTTCTTT